CACCAGTAGGAGTTGTATGTTGGATGATTGTCTTTGTGATATTCATCTAGGTTTTCTACTACCTGATATGTTATATGCCAGCATGATATGTATATGTGATAGTAGTAGAGTCCGGTTGTTAGGACCGGAGGGTAGGTCAGACACCCCAGATACGTCCGACAGTATGTGATGATATGATTATTTGCTGACATGATATGTTATATGTGATAGTGGTAGTAGGGAGGGAATAGTCCCCAAGTTCGGTGGTTAGGACCGAAGGGTAGGTCGGACACCCCAGAAACGTGTGACAGTATGTTTACGTTATGATATATGTGATAGTAGTAGTAGGGGGTGGAATAGTCCCCGAGGTTCGGTTGATAGGACCGAAGGGTAGGCAGCACCCCAGAATGGCTTGACATGGGTAAGTCAGCACCCCAGAATGGCTTGACACGGGTAGGTCGGCGCCCCAGAATGGCCGTACTGGGTAGGTCGGGCACCCCAGAATTGCCCGGCAGTATGAATGCGATATGTCTGTATGGTATGTGGTATGATGGGGCAAACTCACTAAGCTTTGTGCTTATAATTTTATTTTGGTTTCAGGTACCTCTTCGTCTAAGGGGAAGGAGCCGACAGTGTAGCAGCGCATCACACATACACATGATTTCCGCATGGAGTTTTCTGGGATTGTACTCTGATTGATTTTACTTTGACATTATGATTTTCAGACACATTGTTATAGTTTTGTTTACAATTGATATGGCATGGGAAATGTTTTGGTAAACTATGTTGAGAGTTGCTTAATTTAAAAAAAAATGGCTTGGAAATTGGGATGTTACAGTAGGTCAGCACCCCAGAATGGCTTGACATGGGTAGGTCAGCACCCCAGAATGGCTTGACTCGGGTAGGTCGGCACCCCAGAATGGCCGTACTGGGTAGGTCGGGCACCCCAGAATTGCCCGACAGTATGAATGCGATATGTCTGTATGGTATGTGGTATGATGGGGGAACTCACTAAGCTTTGTGCTTACAGTTTTAGTTTTGGTTTCAGGTACCTCTTCGTCTAAGGGGAAGGAGCCGGCAGTATAGCAGCGCATCACACACACACACATGATTTCCGCATGGAGTTTTCTGGGATTGTACTCTGATTGATTTTACTTTGACATTATGATTTTCAGACACATTGTTATAGTTTTGTTGCAATTGATATGGCATGGGAAATTTTTTGGTAAACTATGTTGAGAGTTACTTAATTTAATTTTTTTTTTTTGGGCTTGGAAATTGGGATGTTACAGTCTGGTGCTGACGAGATCTCACTGAGGAATATGGGAGCCATTACTTCACTTGCTGCAGGGATAGACTTCAATTTCTCAAAGTTTATCTTAGACGAATTCGTGGTGAATATCAACGCAATATCCTGGGATACTTTCTTAATGTATCCTAGATTCATCCAAATGTTCATTGACATACAATTCCCCGAGATGGTCAAGGAGGGAGACACCTTAGACATGAAGTCTCTAGGTCCACATACTGTTGGGCTAATCAAGCAGAATCGCAAGGGAAAGGTTGTATTCCAAGGAAAGTATCCGCTTGTGAAGTTTGGAAGATACAACTGTTCCTAATGCATCTGTGGCTGAGGAACATGATCTGACATCAGTGCCTGTTCAAAGTGACTACAGTAAAGGAACTAAGGAAACTGCATCTGCAAACACTGAAGATGCTCATGATTCATTCGAGGATCTCGATCTTACTGGCTATGACAAGGATGATATTTACTTGAATTTTGGAAGCAATGAAAATCTTTTGTCCAATGAGAACCTCGACATATTTTTTGACAATATCCATGATGTTGCTCATCCAGCAACGGAGATACGGGAAACGAAAGATGTTCTCGAATCAACGCCTCCTACCAACAAACAAGTGGTTGACACAGCAACTCCTATGGAGACAGTGTCAGGGATTCCTCCCATTGATATTGTTTCTCCTACCACAGAACCACTTCAGAGTGATCATACAACAACCCAGACCTCTCAACCTCTTCTAAAAAGAAGAAGACGTGATCCCAGACAGGGAATTCTTGTTTCTGATATACTTCAAGGCCTCCCAACACAACCATCAACCACTACTCCTATTGTTTCATCAGGACCTATCAATGAAGGACCTAGAACCACCTATGAAGCTGGTGATTCTTCAACTCCCGCTGGATTCTTTCCTCCCAGGCCTGATCATGACGTTGCCTCTGAGAGGCTTGCCATGCATTTGGCTCAAGAACAAAACTCAATGCCTTCCTCCCGAGCCAAGGGAATTTCTATTGGAGAAGGTCACTCAGGAGGAGATAATCCCACACTTCTTGGTCTTCAATCGGAAATAAATGTGCTTAATCAGAAGAATATTGAGCTTGACATTCAGGTGGCTGATCTTTTAACTGAAAACTCCAAGCTCAAGATTCAAGTTGCTGATCTTGAAGAAGACAAGGTGTTGAAGACAAAGCAAATTACTGATCTTCAGACTCATTTCGGTCTTCTCACTGCAAGTTACTACGACTTGAAGAAGAAGTTGGAAGAAGAACTTGGAGATAAGTTCAAGTCGTCCGTCGATGAGCCTAGAATTTATATCCCTAATCAAGATGTCCCCGTTGTTCCATCATCTGCTCAAACTCCTCGAGTTGTGGATCGATTTGATAAGGAACCAGCTCAAGCTCCAAATGTGGTGGCTCTAAAACGTGCCAAATTGGCCAAAGCTGCTGAGAAAGGTCAATTTCTGTTTAAAAGGAGCTCGGATCAAAATACTCCTGGGGATCAACCTAACATCACTGTTACAGATATTGGAGAGAAACGCTTTAGAGATGTATATGGTGATAGGTCAGGGATCGTTTCATGGGGTTTTCACGACACTTTAAATATGTGGATCGTGAGACGGAAAAGTGGCAACACAAAACTTTATAAAGATTCTCATGATTTCCATTCCTGGACCAGGGTTGATCTTACAGAACTATCAAAAGCTCCTTTTGCAAATCCTTCAAATGATCCCAAGGCAGCACAATTCAAGCATTTTTTGGAAGATCAAGTGGCAAAGGGTTTTCCTTCAATGAAGACTGCAGAGTCGATCATTAAACTATACCCAAGTGTACTTGATCCCCAAACCAATCGTCCTGTTCGATCTGTGATGTGGCCAGCTACCAAACAAGTAAAACAGATTCCTGTACCTCAGAATCATCCAGATGGATCTTTAAAGTCCATGCTTTACTGGGTGTTTGATGAATCTACAGCCTCTGCTGTCATAAAGCTTGAAAATTGATGCATTCGTTTATATGACAAAAGAGATTTGCTTCAGTTTGGGAAATGGGATATTCATCAACTGAACCTTCATCAGATCAAGGTTGCAGAAGATATTTTTGAGCCAGCTGCTAAAGAATATACGTCTATGGTTGCCGATATCATTAACAAGAGGATGTGGAACGGGGCAATGGGGAAGTCAGACGTGATGGTGGTTGACTAAGATTGAGTCCAAGCTAGCACCAAACCAAGGGGGAGATTGAAGGGTCCAGTTAGTGGTTTGGTCTAGGCTTTCAATTGTAATAGTTCTTTTGAGTCTTTATGATGTAATAGTAGGTTATTTTGGTGTTTACGGCTTTGTAGTGTGTTTACGGCCGTAAACCCCTTTACGGCCGTAAACCCTGTTTCCGGCCCAGGTCTTCTATAAATAGAGGTTGTGTATGTCATTATCAGTTGTTGATGCTAGAGAGTTCACAGTCGCTGTAAACAAGTTGTACCCGACGTTTTTCAGTTATAAAGCGTGTGCAAGCTTGTTTCTATTCTACTTCTACTCCAATTCTTGTTCTCTTTGATTGTTTGACTGTTTGATCACTGGTAAGATCCGTTTTCAGGACCTTACAAAACCTCTGAGGTTGGAACTTTTGAGACAACTCTTCAACTTCTGAGGCTTCCATTGCAACTCCACGTGTAAAGTAGTAATGTATCGCAAAGCAAGTCACAACCAAGTTATCCATCACATCCAAATGTCCCATTGGGACCGAGTAGTCCGTCGGAACCAACAATAAGTATCAAGCAGCGTTTCGGAACTAGTCACAATGCCTCGCCTTGAATCACATTCACAACGAACTAGTCCAAAATGCGATCCATCATTCGCAACAGTCCAATTGTGAATGCAACGCCTTGCGAGCGTTCGCACCCAATCACACTCGTTCACAACCACCAACAACCGGTCGCAACTTATCACCTCCTGACTCATAGTTTTCGCTGAAGAAATGCCTTTCGACAGATTGCGATCGTTCGTATCCGTTCGCAACCGATCGTAACCACTTGTAGTTGGGCCGAAAATTAGAAGTTGGAGAATTGCCTTCCTTAATCGTATCAATTATATTATATACATGTAGGTTTTGGCGAGGGTGCTACATTTAAAGGCTCGATGTCTTTTTTGCATGATTATCTTGTAGATAAATCTTCTCCATGATGGTAAAATTACATTTAAGAATTGTAACGTTTATAAAAAGCTGTTGCTACAAAATTACATTTAAGAATTGTAACGTTTATAAAAAGCTGCTGCTACACTTATCTTATAATGAAATTGATTGCCAATTATTGTTGTGATTTTTATGTTCCATGAAATTAACTAAGTATGTAAAAAAAAAAAGAGTATGACTTATGAGCAGAACTTCATTGGCATATGGCTTATCTTATGTGTCTACTTTGAGAGTTACATGTACCATTAATTAGTGTTCTCACTTGATTTTATCATAATTTTGGTGCCACTTATCCGACAGCTAAAAGTGTGGTCTATCAAAGGACATATCTTATACATATTGATATGCACTTGATTGTTCGTTATACCATGGCTCATATTGTAAATGTTCTTACCAACCGACTTTTTATTTCACAATTAAGCTTGGGACTGCTGATTATTATAGTCGAAAATACGATTTTAACTATACTTTGTATTCTTTGGAAAATTATAGAATTAGCTATAACTTTTTCATATAACTTGCTTGTATATATGCTTCACTTGCATTCATATTGAATTCTAATAACAAATTATCATCTCACTAACATCTTTTATGACTTCTTCTATGCGCAAATTAAAGAATCGAATTGTAAACTATGTGTTCTTATTCACATCGTGCATCCACCAAAAGCGTCTTAGGCGTGCCTGGACATGGGTCTCCTCCAAAAGTTTCTACCGTATGAGAAATGGAACATTGCCTTTTCCCTAAGCAAGCCTGAAATAAGAGAAAAATGGCAATATAGATGCAAGTCAAATTGGCTATATGTCTGGTTGCAAAATTGTAGTTTTACAAATTAGTAAGCTTCAATGCATTTAATATTCGAAAATCTCACCTTTTCAACGACACGTCGAGAAGTAGGCGAATGACATTTCCCAATGGAGTACCTCTCGCAGTCACCAGAAGGATTACCATGACTTGCAAATATGATCCTGGAGATAATTCGATTATGCGGACACCATATATGAACTCTTGGCCTTGGCCTCCATGGATAGCGACGATGTGCTCCCCATGGATTTATCCTAGGAGGATGTGCATCTGATACATGCCCACAAACTTTGTTAATCGAAACAGTATCTAATGAAATGTTTAGCGGGTTTCCATATTCTTCCTCGAACAAAACCAGTAGGTTTCCTGTTGGTTGAAGGAAAGATCTGGGTACATTTGTACCTATCAAACATAAGCCCAAGGTCACAAATCACAATTGCTAGCTATAAAAAATATATATAATCAAACAAACAGTGACTGATCAATGTGGGTTTCGAACCATGTCTGCGAAGGAGAGCCGGTAGGGGTCTTAAACGAGACCCAATATCTTCCAATACTTTGGCCATTGATCCAAACTTCACCTTTCCCCATTGAACCCAGGTTTAGTGCAATCGACTCGTTACCCCTAGGCGAGTCAAATATTGTCTGTGAAGTACAAAACAAAAACATAATTAATAAAAGAAGAGGTAAAAAGATGTTTAATTTGAGGGAAATAGGAAAAAGGGTAACCCCATTAATGTATGAGTAAGTGGTGAGAAAGAAAGAACTCAAAAGGCTCACCTTATACCATGTTAGAGTACCAGGAGATGAATACTCGCTCCATGATACATGACTCGAGCCTACCTCTGTGTAAACTGAGAGCTTCTCCCCAAGCAATCCAACCTTTGTCAATAAATGAAACCTCATTTAGAGATATACACAACAATCATTGCAAATACACAATTCAGTATCAAAAATTAAGATTGTTTGATTCTATGGCTCACTTGATATCCCCACAAGGAGCTTGAGACGTTTTGATCTTGAATCATCACTTCTTGTAACCCTGCACGTCTACGCTCCATAAATGCTCCAGAATCCTTCACAACTCATTGGATTGAAAGAATCAGTAATGCATTTTCTTTTCTGAATGGTAATTGAGATTTGTAGTAGTAAAATTTGACAGTGAGAGTGCATCATATATATATATATATATATATATATATATATATATAATATATATATATATATATATATATATATATATATATATATATAACATACCGGTAATCCAACCATTACACTCAGGAGGGAAACATTGTTGGATCCGTTTGAGAAAGAAACAGTGTTTTCCAATGTGAAGTTTGTAAATTTACGGGTTCCATGTCCAGCACCTTCAAATTGAAAGACATACCTCATCTTTCAGTACATTTGATCACAAGATAAGACATCATTTCAAGTTAAGAACCATATAAACACAAAGCCATACCAACAAGATCTCCATTAACATATGCATGTAAAACATGTCCATTAGAATTTACTCTAAGCATAGGTTGATCTTCAGAGAAGTTATTCTCCACTCTGTATGCTCAGAAAGATTGAATTTCAGTTGGTTTACTGTTTACCATGGTTAATTAAACGGCAATGAATATTATACATTGAACTTTTACCTTAACGTGTACCAAAGATAATCTGATGAGTCTTTTGTAGTATTCATTTGTTCCATCAGTCCATTAAACCTCAATGAGGTCTGGTCAAATTCAGGGATAACTTCAGTGAATTCTTCCCATTGTTCAGCCGAAGTGAAGCGTATGATTGGCTGCATTGCTCGTGTACTAACTTGTGTGTTTACCTGTAGCAGTTGAAAGTTAGTAAGTTGCTTTTTTTTTCTTCCTGAATGGACTTAACAGCATGATACTTAATCAGGTGATATATATAATAATACAGAAATAACTACTTAATAGAGAAAGTTAGAAAAAGAGTCACCCGCATTCAGTCCAAGACTTAGACAAAATTTCTTTCATTTATCATTTCATTATGTATACCATCATTTTCTAAAAGACATCGTTTATTCATACATCAATTTAATAGGAAAAAAAAAAAAACAGAAACACGGCCTATGTGTATCATGATTGGCAAAAAGAGCTTCTTCAAATTCCAGAAACATACCATGGCAGTATTGAAGACTACAGTTCTGCAATCAGGTAAGATGCTAATCGAAGTTGGTGGCAAAGTGTAGTGCATATTACGAAATACAACATTGACACTTTCTCTGCTGTTGTTATTAAGAAGAAATGCAGCGCATTCACCTGAACTTCTGGTGTAGACATACGCCTGTACATTCATTTCAAGATTTTGACTTGTTAAATAAAGATTCTAAGGGTAACTGTATTGTTAAAGACAATACAATTGTCAAAGAGAGAAAAAAAACATTTAATATATCCAGATTATGTAAACAAAACGCATTCTTACATCTTGTTTTTCACCCAAATGTTCAATAGCTAAATCTCCATAGAGTAATGGTTGCAAAGATTGCTTCAATGCTGCATGCATTTCTTTAAGGTGGCCGAATTTTGGTTGTCTGATAATGCCATATTCATCAAGCGGAGCTTGATCATAATAACCAGTAATGATAAATGCTGCAGAAGTGTGTCCAAAGTTCGTTCCTCCATGGTACTGTGTGATCATTACAAAGAAAAGCATAAGTTCATGCATGTTTACTTGTGTATTTCACAAGCTACGTACACTATGATGTATCTATATTTACAAGTTTATAATGGTGGTATGTTACCATATAATAATTGACAAAGGTTCCATTCATCTTTATTATGAACAGTGTCGTATGAAAGGCAAGATCTTCAGCTGATCTCAGGTATGCATCATCTCCAAATCCTTGTAAACTTCAATAACCAAAAAGTTAGTTAGTAAAGACCAAGTTAAATTTTAGAAGTAGTTATAGGGAAATAAGTGCTTACAATGAAGTCCAATTCTCAGTCCATAGTGAAGGCTTATTTGGAGAGTTTGGCCCTTTCCATGTTTCCTCACATCTCATCCCGTTGCACGTGTTGATCTACATGAGTTACATGTTTGACCACAAAAGTCAATGTGTAGCTAATGGATTGGTGAATCAGAACCCGGGATATAAATACATAAAATAGCAATGTACTGCATCATAGCATCCACTTCCATTTCTTTATGTTAAAGCATTACACATTAGCTTTTTTCTTATTAATGGATTGTACTTTGAAAATCATCAATTATATATAGCATCTTTCGTTCAACGTGTCTTATTATTGTAGTGAAACTTGTTTCGTATTTGGAGGAGATAGTTATAATCTGAGTAATTTTTCAAAGTAATAAATAATTGAAAGTAGAATTGTTGTTGGATTGGTGCCTCTCATTTGAAGGTTGAAGTCTCATTTGAGAAAAAAAATATGTAGATTTAGGGGGGGGGGGGGGGGGGGGGGGGGGAGAGAGAGAGAGAGAGTTAAGCCATTTTTAAAAATAAAAAATAAAAAAATCAAAGAAAGTACATTGCTATTTATTGTATTTAACAATTAGAAGTAGAGCACGAACCACAGGATCAGGGGCATCATCTTGTTTGCACATCATCCATGGTTCATTAGTGTTTTGACCCACCGCCATTGTTGCAGTCCAGTTGACATACTGTCGTCCATCATCATGAAATGATCCTTCAACATTTTGGTACTCATTCTCTATCTGTCATACATAAGAGTTTTTGTTAATAATACTTCAACAATGCTTTGTAAAAAATGTCAATTTCTCATAGTAATAAAAAAAGATTGAAAACCTGTGATAGAATAATTGGGCCTCCTTGTGAAGCAAACAGGTTTTCTTCCTTCATCATGTTGACTATTTTGGTTGTGAAGTTTTGCATGTAAAGCTGCCATAAATGCAAAACAATATTAATTAATTAATGTCAATGTTTTGACTTTTGCATGTTCAAAAAACAACTCATATGCTATAAAATGAAGATCCCATGTCAATATTTTTCATAAAAAGTCAAATGTTAGCAGCTCCATTGTTTCAAAACAATATTGTACAAGCGACACAATCAATGCCCACATCAATTTGGAACTTCAAAATCAAATAGTTAGTTTGACTTTTATGGTCAAAACTGTGGTTACCTTGAAAGGTTCGTTGTTGGTTCTGAAGACAATCCCAGGAACATCATGCAACCAAAATGGCAAACCTCTGAAAGAAATACGCATAAAAAAGTTAGTTTCAAAATCCAGCTAGCTGAATGGTTAAAGACATGTAATATTTACGCATACCCATAAGTCCATTCGGCCTCAATGAAGGGTCCAATTCGTAGGCTTACATACAGACCTTGTTGTTGGACTTGCTTAATGAAACTTATTACGTCATTTCTTCCACTAAAATCATACTGCATACAATTTAATAGAAAGATATACATATAAGTAATGCACATATATATACATAAAGAAGTAGGAATGTGGGTTCGAGTTTAAAGAGACACCTGGCCAGGTTGTGGCTCATGGAGGTTCCAAAACACATATGTCTGAATGGCGTCAAGACCACCTTGCTTGGCTTTAGCTATTAAAGATGGCCACATCTGCAAATCATTTGACTTGTAATTAAATCATCATATCTATATCTATATTTTTTAGAATCTGTAATAATTCCATATGCATCATTTAATTATAAAAAAGTCAGCCTTCAAAATCTTCGGTGTCATTTATATCAAATGACCAGAAAAGACGAAAATAACATTAACCAAAGTTTCTTTGATGTTTAAAACATAAAAACAAAACCTTTGTTTCTTGAAACGTTTAAAAAAAACATATTGATAAAGACTATTGAAACTGTGGAGGGCAGGGTGGGCCAGTGTGAACATTTTTTTTATATCTAAAACTTTTAAACTTTTTTTTTCAGGTTTAATATTCAGGGTGCTTCGTGCATAATAAACCATGTTTCTTGAAAGTTAAAAAATACAAAAAAAAAAAAAAAGGAACATTGATAAAAACTAATGAAACGTGGAGGGCAGGTAGGCAGTGTGAATTTTATTTTTTTATATCCATATAAAACTTTAAAAACTTTTTGTTGGTTTAATATTCTCATAGAAAGAGAAAGAGAATGTATACGTACATCAGGGGTGCTTCTTGCATAATGAATTGAACCCGAGAACAAAATCGTACGCTTCCCATCAATAATAAGTGATCTTCCATCATAACTCACGTTTGCTCCACCCACCACCACCGTGGTGCCACCACCAACCACCACTAGTAGTGCAATCCAACACCCAAACCACACCATCTCTTCCTCTCTCTCCCTCTCTCTCTCTCTCTCTCTAAAACTGAGTAACAAAGGGAAATAAATTGTTAAAGCATTCTTGTTCAACTTTACATATATATACATATATATTTATTGGTGAGAAACTTGTTTGAGTATTCTTGTCCGACGTTACGTACATTCCAGTTGTGAGATAGAAAGAGACGGCGGAGTTGTTTAAGCAGATAAAGTAGTAAACAACAAAATTGTTGCATTGCACGGCAAACATGGTTTTTATAGGTTGGTGGGTCTTGACCATTGTTTAAGTGTGACCAATATTTTTTACACATATATTATTTTAAATAAAAATAAGTAGTTGTATTCGTATTATAAGATGATCTCGTTTTGTTTAATGGACTTTTTTTAATGTGGTTTCTTTTGTATTGTAAAACAATCTTTGTGTTCCCAAATTATAACATATTAAAAGAATATATATATATATATATATATATATATATATATATATATATATATATATATATATATATATATATATATATATATATATATATATATATGCCAACATAATATATCCACGTTTATTGGTTTTTATTACATAAGAAAGGGAAACGATGATATCGATAAAACAAAAATTAAATGATATTAAGGTTCAATGGTTCATCCGAGTTTGAAAACTAATAAGACTTCATTTTATATATTCTCGTATTTTTACTGTTTGAAACACATAAAAATACAAACCAAAAGAAACACAAAAAATGACCATCCTTTGATAAGGGTGTCAATCTTTTTATTAATATCTTGTAAAATTTTATTAAATAAATAGGTAAATTAAAAATTAAGAGAGATGGAATTTTGTTACCAATGGGATGCAGGGTCACGAGAGGCCAAGAACAATACCAACACGTGATGTGTATGATCTTTTGGTTCATATATGTCGGAATTCAAAAGAAAGTAATCTTTACTAAAGTAAGTATTAGTTTCATGTTTGGGTATAAATTGAAGGCTTTAAGTAATGTTGTCATATACATTTAAATGCTTTCAGTTAATAGGTTATGAATTTAAGTCATGCTAAAAATGTTAGTATTTTTCATAATTGGAAAAATGTTTGTTTTACAGCCCAAGATTATCTATTAGGTGTTGATGTAATGTTTGTTTGACAGCCCAAGATTATCTATCAGGTGTTGAAGTGCATGGATTTTGTTACAATTAAGGATTTGGAATAACAATAAATTTGGATAATTTGAGGATCATGATAGTATCATTTTTCGAAATATGTAATGTGTCCTTATATTTAGGTTATACGAAATCAGAATTGAAATAATCCAAAAGCTTTCAATTTTGATTACAGCATCATCAAAATTTAAAACATATAATACCTTGTTGCGATTTGTGTTTTTTTTTTTCAGCGACAAATTTATGCAAGGTAATGATGAGCCAATTAATAATGTGCAATAAAAAGGTTTTTGAGGAAATTACATTTTAGAACCATTATACGTCTTTGGCATGGGGGTCGTTGAAGGAAGGGCAAAATAAGCAGCTACATACGACTAAATTTTTCTTAGGGCCTAATTTTTATTTTATATATATATATATATATATATATATATATATATATATATATATATATATAATAACGATAAAGACCATTTTCCTTTTGTTCGTTCAGGTATTTAATGATATTTAAATTCTTCTAGGACAACGATGTAATTTATAACTAGATTAAAAAATATGCACCCTTTTATAAAAAAAATTAAAATAATAGTTCAAGGTGGTGAATTTAGATCTCACTAAAAACTATCTAAGTGTTTATTACTTAATAAAAAAATATATTGTTTTACATGTTCAAATGAATTTTTTTGTCCAGTGAGTCGTATTGTACTCCAATGTTTTGGATTGCTTATTCAATGTATTTATTAATGTATTTATCAGAGAGAAATTTAGTAATTTAATCTTATAAATGAGTATTTTATAATAATAACCACATTATATATATATATATATATATATATATATATATATATATATATATATATATATATATATATATATATATATATATAAATAATATGACCATTTTCTCCGGAGTATGGTAATTCATTCCAAAAGCCCTGCTTGACAATTTTCTCCAGAATAGAGAATTCCAGAGTATGTGTACTCATTCCGGAGCTCTGGTCTGAAACAAGAATCTTCATACATTCGAGACTGTTATTCCGGACTACGGTAGTCCGAAACAGGAATCTATGTACAATTGTTAGTCTCCTGCTGTGAAATAACAATACGAAGTCAAGTTCCGGACAGGTATTCTGAACCGTTATTTCGAATTAGAAACTCAAATTTCGTCTCATATATAGATATATATATATATATATATATATATATATATATATATATATATATAATATATATATATATATATATATATGTGTGTGTGTGTGTGTGTGTGTTTATGCATATTCTTAGACCCTTACCTCTAATAATTCGTAATTATCTCTTATAACTGCCTGAAGATGAGTTTATGAGAGAATGAACACGAAAAAAGCTTTAACAACATGCCTGTTTACCTACACAACCTTGGGCGAACCAACTCATATCAAAACTAATGTGATGGATCGTTTCTAAACTTGTTTTGTGGCTATTGAATGTGTGGTATATTTCTTTAAACTTTTCTATTGTTTCTTTAAAATTGATAATGTTTCTATATCTAAACTAATTGTTTTGTGTTCCAAAGAAATACATCTCCATGCATTTATATGATGCTTGCTGCCTGTCATCTTCATATGTAGTGTTCGTGTAAGGGGGACTACATAAACACAATTTATATAGCAGTGGCTGTGGATGAGAACAACCAGACCCTCCTTATCGTATTTGCTCTGGATGTGGAAAATATTCTCTACTGTTGTACCTGGTTGCTTATGAGGTTAAAGGAATCTCTCGGACAGGGTAGGGAAGTATCGTTCATAACCTATGGAGTCGCGGTCAAAAATATAATAACGGTCATTGGCCGCTATTTGAAATCGCGATTCTTGTGGTGGTATAGCAGTGGTATAGCCTTTTTCTATATTATGTGAAAATTATATATATTAGAGTATTAATTAGTTAATCATACTTCAAAGTTCAACCCACTCTGGCTAATTAGTTAATCAGTAAATCATACTTCACATATCACAATTAGCTAATCATACTTCACATGCAGTTTACCAATGTCACAGTTAATCATACTTTAACACAATCAACAATAAAACATAAGAAATACTTAGAATTTTATCATACCTCAACATAATCATAGTTAGCAAATAAATTGATTAAGCAATTTGACAGTTGATCATATGGTACTTCAAGTATTCAACACAATTAGCAAGACAACACATACATGGTTTCAATAGAAGTAATCACAGTCACTGAATCACAATTTTATTCAATGGAATGTCATAAAATCATTGATTTTGGCTAAGAAAAAACAATTTTATTCAAGGGAATGGCACAAAAAAAAAACAGTTTTTTTATGTAAAATAACCCAAAAAATGGGATTTATAGCGTCACCGCTATTTTGAAATCTCGATTCTTTACCTCCGCTAATCGCTATAACGTTGTGATTGGCTGCATAGTTCATAACCAATATGGACAATGTCGTTAGTTCTTGCATAGATCATGTATTCCCTGAATCTTATCGTCTGTGTACTTCTAAAAATGCGTTCATGTATATGCGCACAAGAGGCGTGTCTCTTAGAACATTGGAACCTTTGTTCTAGATGACATCTAAGTCATATATTGTGTCTAATTTTGAACAAAACTCGCATCGGCTAACTCATGATGCTCGTAAAGTGCTTGCCAACATCGATCATGCAAAATGGGCAAGAACCTATTTCCCTAACATCCGTTATAATGTAGTCAACATTGATGTTCCCTAATTTTTTTGGTGTTATCCGTTAATCAACACAATGTACCGATAATAACATTTAACGAGGAAATTCATGACTACATTAATCGGACTTTTGTTGAACACAATTTAATGACGGATAAAATACTTGATACAATATTAAATTAATTCTCCTCATTTTTTATATGTAGAAGAAGCTTATTTGATCATATTTAATATTCCGGGAGGTTGACTAGCGTACTCACCCCATATGCAGAAATGGTGCTTCATAAAAGGATGCAAAAGTATGTTTGGTAGCAAGCAACAAAGATCCAGCCAAAGATCCCATCTATGTTCCCATCCGATATTTATCGAGTTTTTGATTTAAAATAAAAAAACTTGTTTTGTAGATCTAAACCGTCATACATGTTCATGTGGGAAATGACGCAGTCTTATAGCGTGCGGTCATGCTATTGTGGCATCATGTCATTCGAACATCCATGAATTATTCGATCTGGTTCGGATATATTACCGGACTGATGTGTTTCGGACTACCTACCTGATAAAACACTGTGCACCCTGTACCCCTCTATCTGAATGGGAATATCAGACCCTTTAATGGTTGTTTTATTGCCTATGTAATTGCAATTAATTATGTGAATCTAGAATGATATTCCAAAAAACAAGCAAACATTACATATTACATAGATTATGTAATAATTGTTACATAAACTTAGTTGATGAACATAAAGCCTACAACTTGTACACAACAATACCAAAAAAGAAAATCCAACTACAAATTAACGCTATCTTCAAGCACAAATTTTTGGTTTCAAGTTTCTTCTTCGATCGAACTAAGTTACAAATTATCAACGAATTATTGTCTTTTGCTTCATCAACCCAATATATAAACCCAACCCGTGGTCCCTAAAAATTTAATATTAAACACATGACGTATATTGTAAATTAATATTAATTCAAAGTAAAAATAATGAAATGATAACTCTTATACCTCTTTAGAACAAGCGTAAAATAGTCATCCAGGGTTATTCCTAGTCCTTGATGTCCTTATAATACCTTGATCGCTATTATTGCAGTATGCCATTTGTTTGGTTTATGAGAAATGAATTTTGAGTAGTAAATTTAACAAGGTATCGAGTTTGGACTCTTGAATTCAATTATATAATGGAATTTCTAGAGGGCATTATGGTCTCATAGGCTTTGACCCTGTATTCATAGCCTACACTATGTGTCACAGACACATATTCTAGACATGCATTTCGGAGCCACATTTCGAACGTACTATTTCAGACCCTCATTCCGGACATTGAATTTCTCCTTTAATATGCAACTAATTATGTTTATAATTAATTTTTGGAGTGATTAATGAAATATATTATTATTGCCCTAAT